TTCTTCTTCTTGTTTGCTGTGACTTTTGTGCCTGGTCCGGTATGCAGGAGACAAACTATCGATTCGATGTTGTTTTTGTTGCCTCTGTTTTTGTTTTCTTGTTGTCTGTAGTGGTCTGGTGTCCCGGCCACTAGCAGCAGAAGTACTGACCCAGGCGCTTGCTGAAACAGTGGGCATCGCCGCCTTCAGATGAGAGGTGGGTTATTGGTCTGCGCGCAGGTTATATGCAGCCATTCTGTTGTTGTGTGTGTTTTAGGCGCAGTGTGGATAACACGCAGTCCAGAATTGGATTATATAGTTACAGTGTTCAATGCATCATGTGAAGAGCACGAGAAAGAAGTTGCAGCTTTGGTGTCTGTAGCATGTGCACAGCCTCAAGCTAACATTCAACGCCATGGACTCGGATTGTGAGGAGCTGGCGCATGACACAGTGGGAATCGTGTCATCCCAGCTTGCAAGGTCCGAGTGCGATGATAAGGTGTCCGAGGCAGAGCTCGAGCAATGTGTCAAGATGGCGGCTCGCTTTCAGAAAGTTCAAAAGAAGTGGGCCAGTGAGTTGTTGATAGATCCAAACCAGCCACATTTGGGAAGTTGGATTGCAGGGAGATGGACTTCAGACTTTCATTTTTCAGTCATGTGTCTTCCCTGCGCCCAGAAATATGGAAAGGATTCGGACAATCCTTGGGTCGTTGGTGGCTTGAAGCTAGTTTCCTCGTTGCAGCTTGGCCATGCAAAGCGGCATCAAGACAGCTTCTTGCACCAAGAAGCAGTCAAGCATTTGGCAAGTGGAAGTGATCATCTTGAGAGTGACAAGCCTGTGCGCAACAAACCTGAGCTGCGCACTGCTTTGCAGTTGGCCTGGGACAGTTGCCGGAAAGGTTCCAGCTTTGCGGCTGCTTCCAGCGACGAAATTGGCTCGCGGGAGAAAGTGGGCCGATTGACACGTGTTCTTGGCACTGCACTCAAGAAAACCGACCAAGAAGTGTTGAGAAAGGCGTACACAATCGCTCTGCACCAAGATACACGGCAAGGAGTGTTGTGCCTGAGGTATGCCTGCGCTTCTTTGGATTCCAGTGTGGTTCATCGTGGCGTTTGTGGATTCTGTCACAACCCGGGCACTAAGTCAGAGGACATTGAAGCAGGGGTCCTGTCCATCTTGGACGATCTTTGTGATGGAGACCACGAGCTCCTACTTCATGTGTGCGACAGTGTTGAGCTGATAGACTCTGATGGAGCCAGCGATGAGCAAAAGTCATTACGTCTCTTGTGTGACATATTCCCGCACGCCATCTTTTTGTGCAGGGACAGCACACACGCTGCGAGGCGGTTGACTCGGAACCCATGGGCAGCTGATCCATATCTGACTGAACTCATGGAGCAATATATATCTTCCTCTGATTCGATTTGCTCTGTTATCCAGAACAGCCCAGACTTGAAGCACGTGTTCAGTGTGAATGTTTCAGGTGACTGTGGTGCTGAAGTCCAACATGTGAAGAACTTGGGCTTGTCGCACGATCGCTTTGACTCAGCGTCCAAGCCCCTTGGACGATTCGTGACATGTTTTGACAGCGTTTGGCGCACTGCCCGGCATATTTCTGCCAGTCGGCGGGGCACCGAGCCAGCCCGAAAAGCAAACGATTTCCTGAGGCATGCGTGTGTTGAGTCACTGGTGCAGTGCGCAATGCTTGCAGATGCGGCATTTGAAAGTTTGGAAGTCATCAGGTTTCACGACACAGAGAATTTTGATCTCAGCTCAGTGCCCAAAGTACTTGCGAACTTCCTCCACAGGATTGACGTTCTTTTTCTCAGAAAAGAGGTGGTGAATGTCGGACACACAAAGCTTATGCTGCACACCTTGGCCACAGAGCGCACCTGCGAGTTGCACCCTGAGGGGGTATTCAAAAGCCTGGGTGGGGCTGGGGCGGTGCAAAGGGACATTCTTGACCGCTGCTTTGCCCGCATGGCTGTTTGGGTACGACTTGCCACTGAGAGGATTGAGGTTGAATTTCCATCCTGGCGTGCGTTGCACTTGTTTGAGGTTTTCGACCTTGGCATGGCGCGTGGTGACGCAGCTGGCTCTAAACTTCAACAGCTTGCAGGCATTTTTGGGGTCGAAGACACTGATGCTTTGACCTCTGAATTTCACCACATTCGCGTCAATGCATTGCAGCTTTTGGAAGATGGGAAAGTGAAATCCTCCAAGGAGGCATGGAAACAAGCACGTTTGCACCTGCTGGACCGCAGAATGCGGGAGAAGCATCCGTGCACAAACATTGACCAGATATTGCGCCGGTATCAAGCTTTCTGTGGGAACACAACTAGCGGAGTAGAGCAAACCTTTTCCAAGATTGTCCGCTCTTTGGGACCATACAGGCAAAGCATGGCCAAAGATTTGCAAAACTGCTTGTTCAGAGTCGTTTTAGCTCCCGCAGATGCACGCGACACCGCAGTGCGGAGGGGATTGCAGCTGTGGATTGATATGTACGGCGAGTTCCGGAAGCATGCGCAGAACACTCGGTGGAAGCGATTGCGATGCAGTGTTGACTCAGCTGGCCAGGAAACAGCCTTTCATCGCAAACGGAAAATTGAAGTGGAGCAGGCTGGGGGGATCGAGAAAATTAGCCTAAGCTTGTTTGGGAATATATGGGGCGTATATGTATATACAAATGTTGACGTAGCACCCTTAGTGTTGCTGAGCCTGACCATGACTGCAGGTGAGCGACAGCCACCAGCAGCGAAAGAAACAAGAACTGCTAGAACATGCTGAAGAAGCAGGACTAGATGCATGGCAAGAAGTTCATGAGAAAGAGTTGGAAAAGCTTCAAAACCAGCACTGGGAGTTCATGAAGGATGCCTACAACCAACAGCTGTTGCCAGCAGAACTGGCTGACGCACAACTCATCGCTGAAGCGGACGAAAAGCTGGCCCGACGAAGGCAGCGGGATGATGAAAATTCCAAGAAGTTGGGGAAGATTGCAAGAATGTGGGACAGGCCAGTGTTCAATCTAGCAGGAGCGTCAATTTGCGTGCTCGTGCTCAATGATGATTCTGAGCTTGATCAGATTGCAGAAGTTGTGGCCAAGCATAAGATGGACCTAGTAGATGAAGAATTGATTTCAAAGGCCGATTACCTTGTGATCCACAACTTGGATGTGGTGCCGAACAAGTTTCTCGCCATAGCAGGTTTGACAGGCAAAACAATCTGCAATGTGACGTACTTGTGCTCAGAAGGTGTGGAGGGTGCGGCCATGGCCTTCAAGCCAGCCGTGGCATCCATCAGGCATGTATGGCTTTCGGATGCTTTTCGGCAGGAAGAGAATGACCTGGCCAAAGCCATTGATTCAGCGATGAGCTGTCCGTTGAGCAAATGGCAAAGATGGGACGAGATGAAGTTTCTCCAGAAGATGTGCAGCAATCCTAAGGGCTATAAGTTCATAGGCTTGGTCAGTGATGCTGAAAAGCAGGACAGTTATGTTCTTTTCACTTTTGCTTTGCCAAAAAATGACTGTATTTCCAAAGCCAGCAAACTGACAGGGGCCAGTGGCCAGCAAACTGCCAGGGGCTTTTCGAAGTGTTTTACAAATTAAATGTTGGACCATACATAGTGTAAGAACACGAAGCCATCAAACTCACAGGGGCCTTTCAGCCAGCAAACTGTGAGGGGCCCGTGTTTGGGAAGAAAGTTTTGCTGTCAGGAGGATGCTGTATTCTCTTCTTCGCACTTCGTCTTCAATACTTCTAACTTCACCGAATTCGTAGCTGTGCTTGATGGTGCTCGATGCGCGCATGGTGGAAGGGGACGATAAGCGATGGCGGTTTGATTCATGACGTGCACTCTCTTTTTGAAGCATGAGATGTGTGATACTTTTTGTTGAAAT